TGCCAGACTATCGGAAGGGGGGGCTATGAGGGGTCTGGGGTGGAGTGGGGGGATGCGCCCCTTGGCGTTCCGGGACCAACTTGGCAGCACCCCAGTTGCTGTGCCCCAGGCGTCCCCAAGTCAGCTGCTGGTCAGTTTCAGCAGTGGCTGAATCTGGGAAGCCGGGGGCAGAGCAGCTCCAATTGTCCGGCTGCCCCGAGCACTTCCGGGTTCCTGATGGTGCTGGAGAAGCATTGGATGCCGGACTAATGGAGTTTTACTGTACATGGCTTTTTCTGACTAGAAATTATCAATTGTGTGTTTTGTGATGTGGACAAACTGATTATTTCACTTATGTAAATAATATTTGGTTTAAGGTGGGGTGGGCAAAAGGGCCTCCGTGGGCCAGATCCGGCCTGCAGAGGCTCTGCTGCTTACCTGCCCCCAGGTCAATTAGGGAAGCAGCCTTAATTGGCCTGGGGGCAGGAGAGCGCGCAAAGCTTCCTCCCGCCCTGTGAGCGGCGTGTGGCACTTTGAAGCGCCCGCGTGTTGCTCGCGGGGGAGGGGGGAGAGCAGAGGAGGCTTCGCATGCTGCCCCGCCCCCAGGCCCTGATTGGGGTCAGGGAGTGTGCCATGTATCTTCCAGGGCATGGGTGCCTAGTGGGAAAGGGGGGGCAAAGGGACTCCCCCACCCCCAAACCAATCATGGTAGCCCCGCCCCTCCCAGGGTGGCCCAGGACTACTTCAAAAATTTTTGAAGTGGCCCCCGTGCAAAAATTACTGCTCACCCCTGGTTTAAGGTCTTCAGGAGTTCAAGGTTAGTTTATTGAACCAGTTGTGTCTCAAACTCTTCTTTGAATTAAGCCTTCTTGCCGTGAGAGAGAGAACCTACTGTTCCAAACGAGCTTTTATTATGCAGGTTTGATTAATTTACATTGGAGAAAAAAGGTTGATTTATGCCAGCTTAATCAAATACAGCTCGGCGATGGCAATCATGGTAAACGTAATTTTAAAAAATCCTATTAAGCTTGATTAAATTTGATTTAGCTTGTTAATTGGATATCCAAAACTTAAAATATATTTCCTTAAGAAATCCTAATTTATAAGGAGAAATACTCATTTTTTTTACCTTTGAGCTGCTCTAAAATTCTCTGAGACCTCTTTCCATAATTTATATCTGGAATGATTGTATCCCTGATGAAGTTCTTTAGTTGCTACTCATTAGGGATGTAAAATCCTGTTTGTTTAACCAGTTAATTGATTAAAAGGGGCTGAGCAAGGGGCCCGCCATTGGGCTGGAGCAGCCCCTGCCTGAGGGGCATCCGAGCCCACTGTGGACAGAGGCTGTGCTGTTTGGGATGCTGGAGCAGTCCTTGTCCACAGTGGGCCCTCCACAAGGCTAGAGCAGCCTCTATCCAGTTAATTGATTAAACCTACTAGAAATATGTTGAAAAATTGGAAATCTGCAAAGGGTGTAAATTTTGTGGACATTCCACCTAAACAAGTGAATATTGTAGGGTTTAATAGAAGCAAGTTTACTTTCCCATATCCATCCTATTTATGGGCATTTGAAATTGTATGGTGAAAAAATTGTAATTCTAAGTTCACTTTTACATTTAGCATTCTTTTCTTATGTTTTCAGAGTTTGTGTTATGATTTTTTTCAAGTATCTTTAAGAGTGAATTAGGTTTTGTATGGATGATTTTTGGTCAATTTTTATTTTATTTATTTATTTTGCTTGCCATTTATTTATCATTTCTTTGGAAGGCAATCAGATTTTTCTGGTGCAAGAATTGATGTAACTTTTCTCCCTTCTTTTAAGGTTTGCCCTTGTAGGTGTAGGATCTGAAGCATCCTCCAAAAAGTTAATGGATCTCTTACCTAAAAGAGAATTGCATGGACAAAATCCTGTTGTAACTCCATGCAATAAACAGTTCCTGAGTCAATTTGAAATGCAGTCAAGGAAAAGTAAGTCATCTTTTCTTATTTGCATTGTACCTTTACAGAGCAAAGGGCAAAGGTCCATTTCAGGAAAGGTATTGCAATATACAGTCAGCCCATGACAACATATATGGCTCCAGATAATCATGAAATGTTTACAGTTAGTCCCATCACCTTTTGACAAGTTTCCCCAATACATTAGTGTTTTTTCCCTATAGTTCTTTGTAAAACACTACATGCATGAAAGCAATTATATGACCAGACTGAACAAAATGAATACATTAGCAAGATGGACATTTGCAGACAACTTGGACTAGATCCTGATATCTGGTTGAGTTCTGCTTGTTGGTAACATCTGGAGGGAGGTGGATGTCACTACTGTTCTGTGTTTCACACAGCAGTTGGGCCTTGGCATTAAGCTGCCTTAGGGCTAAGGATGTAAGAGCGTAACCGTTTAAATGGCTAACTGATGAGCATCAGCTTATTGGTTTCTGTTACGGTTACTGTCTTTGCTGGTGTGCGCTGGCTGCTGGCCCTACTCCTGCTGCGGGCTCTGCACTATAAAACGTAAAAGCCTGCATTGTGTTGAACCACTAGGATTTTTAACGTTACACAGTTACTTTTTTTAACCTTTTTTTTAATCCCTGCTCAGGGCTAGTATAACTTGCTTCTGAATGCAGTGGGCCCAAGTGCTCTTCCATAGCATGAAATGCTTCTGTGTTCCAGCCAAACCCCATTCCTCAGCTGAACTCCTTATGACGGAAAATGGGAAACAGGAAGGTTTGATGTGCCACTGGCTATTCTGGAAGATCATGCCAGAGGAATCCTTGAATAAATGAGCTTTCCTATGGCTTTGTGCTGGTGGACCACTGTAATGTAAATAGAGCAGGGTCAGTATTTAGCCCATTAAATCTACCTTGTTCCTTTTGAAAGGAAGGAAATCATCAAGAAGTAAATCTGCACTATGGGCAACACATTTTTACACATAGCAAAGAACTTAAAAATCATCAATGAACTTAGTGAGTAAAAATATTAATGATTTTTTTTGTATCATACTTTTTATTTGGTTGCTATGCTTGGTTCCCTTCTCCACATACAGGAGGAAAGGAGAAAAGGAACCAAGCATAGAGGCAGAATAAAAATGGCTGTGCTTGACTCCTTGCTTTTCTGGATGGGACATGCCTCTCACTGGTAGCTGACAGCTCAAGTCTACTTGTGGCTCTGGTGCAGAGGAATGGCTTCTGTTTACCCTCATACTTATGTAGCAATAAAGTTCCTAAAAGAGTTAGTGAAGCAAGTGCCTCCATGTTTCCAAGGTCCTTTTGCAGGCTCCCAGGCATTTTTTCCCCTTTCTTTTTCCCTGTTTAGTGAAGAGCCTAGATATCTGTTCTAGAAGCATCTTGACACAATAAGAGCACGATGTGATGATTCACATTTCTGTCTGCCCAGTTGTTTGCAGACCACATTTAGGAATCCTTAGTTTATGGCATGAGCATGGGACAAATGATTAAGGGATTGAATACAATTGCCAACTCTTTCAGTAATTTGCTGAATTTGGACTAGTCACATAACTTCTCTGTTTCCCCAACTGTAAAATAGAGAAAAGGATGTTTTATAAAGTACTTTGAGATTTATGCATGAAATTTCTATATAAATATGAAGGGTAAGTATTCAGCTTTGCTGCAGCAACTATTGAGGAGCACAGAGCAGTGCTACCTCCTCCCCCTAAAGAAACCAAAGCAAAAAAGTGAACTCTAGGGGTATGTCTACACTACAAAGTTAGTTCGAACTAATGGACGTTAGTTCGAACTAACTTTAATAGGTGCTACACTAGCGCTCCGCTAGTTCGAATTTGAATCGAACTAGCGGAGCGCTTAGTTCGAACTAGGTAAACCTCATTTTACGAGGACTAACGCCTAGTTCGAACTAGTGGGAGGCTAGCCCTCCCCAGGTTTCCCTGGTGGCCACTCTGGCCAACACCAGGGAAACTCTTATGTCCCCCTCCCGGCCCCGGACCCCTTAAAGGGGCACGGGCTGGCTACGGTGCCCGTGCCAGGTGCAAGCCTGCCAGCACCCAGCTAGCAGACCCTGCACCTGGCACGGCACAGAGCCACCCACCCGATGCCCCCCAGCCCACCCCCTCTTGCCGGGACCAGGCTGGCGGCTCCCGGGAGCTTGCCCTGGACCGCAAGAGGCGGGCACCTTCCTGGGCTAGTGCGGACATCGTGGACCTCGTCCACGATCTCCGCACTAGGCACAGGAAAGTGGCCGTCTAGGGCAGGAGAGCTGCCAGCCTGGCCACCCAGGACCAGGTGTGCATGAAAATCAAGGGGGTCCACTGAGACCCCCGACACTGAGCCCTGAGCTTACAATGGCCGTACTGGGTCAGACCAAAGGTCCATCTAGCCCAGTAGCCTGTCTGCCAACAGCGGCCAACCCTAGGGACCCTGGAGGGGATGGACCGAAGGCAATGACCAAGCCATTTGTCTCGTGCCATCCCTCTCCAGCCTTCCACAAACTTTGGGCAGGGACACCACTCCTACCCTCTGGCTAATAGGACTCCATGGACCCAACCTCCATGACTTGATCTCACTTCCCTTTAAACTCTGTTCTAGTTGTAGCCTTCACAGCCTCCTGCAGCAAGGAGTTCCACAGGTTAACTATTTGCTTTGTCAAGAACAACAACTTTCTCTTACTAGTTTCAAGCCTGCTACCCATTCCTTTCCTTTGGTGTCCTCTAGTCCTTCTTTATGGGAACTCAGGAAGAACTTTTCTGAATGCACCCTCTCCACCCAACCCCTGCTTTTAGAGACCTCTATCCTGTCCCCCCTCCGTCTCCTCTTTTCTAAGCTGAACAGTCCCAGTCTCTGTAGCCTTTCTTCATCTGGGACCTGTTCCCAACCCCTGATCATGTTAGTTGCCCTCCCCTCTCCCAGCCTTTCTCTTCCCCTCTCCCACCTCCTTTTCCCAGTCTCCCCCAGTTTTGTTCAAGAAAGACAGAGTCAATGTTGGAAGAAACGTTATCTTTATTTTGTACATCAATAAGAAGGGGGGCTAGGGAAGGGTAAGTGGAAGGAGGCGAGGGAGGAATGGGGTACGAGCCCCCAATGGGGAGGACTGGGCTGGCTCTGCGGGCTTCTGGGGGTGGAAGCTCTCCTGCAGCCCCCCAATTACTCCCTCTCCCCAGATGGCAGCCTGCGGCAAGTGCAGCCGGGCTGATGGCCGAGTGGTGTGAGGTGCCCAGTGTGGGCACTCAGGGCACTCCAAGCCAGAACTTCTTTGCAAGCGGGGCACCCCTTAGAACTGTGTGTCCGGGGTGGGGGTCGGGACCCTTTAAGCGCAGCCCTCGGCTAGCCTGAGACAGCATCTCCATGCTCTAAGTCCTCCTTTTATGCCCTGCCGGCACTGCTTCCGGCCATCCTTAAGCCCTGTTCAGAGTCCACTCAATGTGGACTTACTAGTTCGAACTAGCAAAACGCTAGTTCGAACTAGTTTTTAGTTCTAGATGCGTTAGTTCGAACTAGCTTAGTTTGAATTAACTAATTCGAACTAAGTTAGTTCGAACTAGCGCTGTAGTGTAGACGTACCCTAGGTTAGTAATTAGCGGGGAAATCTTTCACATTATGGAGTGATGATATACTTTTGCTTCTCCTTTGCAGCCACACAATCAGGCCAGATGTCTGGAGAAGGTAAAGCTGGCCCTCCAGGAGGTGGCTCACGTGCAGCATTTCCGCCAAATAACAGAGGCCGAGGCCGTTTTCCAGGTGGCATTCCAGGTGGGGACAGATTCCCGGGACCAGCAGGACCAGGAGGACCACCGCCTCCTTTCCCGGGTACAGACATTAAAACCGTTGTTGAATTTGCTAGTTTTACCTCTTCCGGTTTTTTTAATAACCAAAGCACACTTCCTAATTTGTTTTGGGAGTTACAAAGATCTAGGGAATTGGACTCAAGATGCTTATCTACAATAAGTCTTCACATTGTTACTAGATTGTGGGATTCTGGGGGGGCGGTGTATCACTTCAGCATAGGGAAATGCAATTTTTGACGTCAAAGGTGTTTTCTGGCCCCAGAGAAGTGTGAGCGTGAGTATGAACAAACCTGATAATACTTATAACAGAAATCCTTAAAGTGATAATTTTATTTAGTGTCACAAGATAGATTTTAAAACCATAGTTGCATTAAAGAAGAATTACAGATGTCACACTACTCTGGATGGCCTTGTCTTTGCTGCTTTATTAGTTACCCTGAGTGTTAGTCTGCAGTTATTGATGTTACAAACTAGGTTATCATAGAGTAACTATGTTTTTCTTTAAGTACTTGCTTATGTCCATTCCATGTTAGTTGTGTGTACACTGTGTGCACCATTTCTGGAGATATTTTCCCCTCAGTAGCATACATCAGGTTGGCTCTAACACCCCCTGGAACTGAGCGCTTATATGCTAGTATAAGGAGCACTGCTGGCCACACACCTTCTCAGTTCCATCTAATCACCCATGACGGTTGCTGGAACAACCCCTCTTTGCTCTGGCAAAGCTTTCTTTCCTGTGGCTTTTGGATTCTAAACTTCCTTCTTAATGATCATGGTTCAGTGTATGGTTTTTGTAATTTAGTGTTAGTGTACATAGTGTAAATAGCTAGTTCCTATCATCAAGGGACTCCTTTTCCCCCGAGGCTGGACATGCTCCACTTCACAGGCTTCAAGCCTTGTGCCTCCCTCCTATGGCAAACCTGTGCCCCTGAGTGATCTGCACTTCAGCTGCTTGAAGTACTTGGGGGAGACTCATGTGAAGGACAATTGCTACATCTGTCAGGGCTTCAGACCCCACTCTAAGAAAGACAGAAACATTAAGCAGTCCTCATGGAATCTGCCTTCAGATCAACCTCAGAGCCAAGCCACTCTGATTCGGCACCATGTGCTTTGGCATTGGTGCAAAGTCCTCTCCTAGCACCAACCTCTCCCTAGCACCATTCAGCATCTTGGTTCTGAGGAAGAAGCACAGAAAGTAGCATTTTAACTGGGGGCACTCACCAGTGCAGAAAAATAGACAAGTTTGCAGGAGGCAATTCAGTGAGATCTGTGCTGGGTCCCTGATAGCCCAGTTAACTCCACTTAGAACATTGAGTACAGTCTGGAACCTGCTGCTGACACCTGGACTCCACCATGGTACCAGTAGCCTTGACTTTTCCATTGACCCAGGACGCATTCCAAGTGGCTATGGATCTGCTTTCACTCTCAGTCTCTCCAGCTGTAGTGGGTCACTTATCAGCTCCAGTGACTAGAAGGCAGAGAGACTAAGGAGCATTAGACTCCTTCCAAGCACCTTCTTAGGGGTAAGCTGCCCCAGATCCCGTCATTCTGATCACATCTGGTCTGCTGTCAGTCCCCAGAATCCTGACACCGCATGAAGGCAGAAGTGAGTACTGCTCTAATGCGATCTTAGAGAAGACTCAGAGTACAAAGAAGAGCCTTACATGCAACTAAAAGCCCACCACCAGTAGGGATGTAAAATCCCATTGAATTAATCAGTCAGTTAAGGATTAAGATTAGCCTGTTAACTGCTTAAACGGGGTGGGCAGAGGGCCCTCTCTAGCCCGGCTAGGCTGGAGTGGCACCCTTTGAAGCTGGGTTGGAGAGTGTCTGCCTGTAGCGCTCCTGGGGGCTGCTTCAGCTGGGCTGGAGTACCCCTGTCCACAGCATGCCTGGACCTGGCCTACTGCGGATGGGAGCTGCTCTGGCTGGGCAGCGGCTGGGTGGCAGAGGAGGATGCTCCAGCCCCCACTGGTTAACTATTTACATCCCTAAACACCAGTACCCAACGTATATGCCAGTGAACTTCAGTGCCAGTCGCCCAGCACCTGGATAGTGGGTCATTAGCCTATGCAGTGGCCTTACTGGAACCCCATGAGATTTCCCCTGGTCCATCTTACCATTGCTCCTACTTGGTGGTTTCTAAAAGATGGGCTCCTTCCACTTGGCACTGGACCTCAGCTCTGGTACTGACATTCAGGAGATGGCTGCAGATGTAGATGAGGAAGGAGCCCCTTCTCCAGTGCAAGCCTCTTACTCCCCAGATGAAGTTGTCATGGGACTACATAGCCTACTTCTGCAGGATGATGTCAAGACCCATTAGGACCTTCTGACATAGGCCCTGACTTTTCTCTCTTAGCTCTGCCCAAGCCCCTTCCTCACTTCCCCCTTCCCCCAAATTCTGCTCTGCCATCCTGATATCTACACCTGCCTGGCGGGGCAGCATGATAGGTGGCTGCCCTGTGTGAGCCAGGGTCACGGTGCTATTTTTAGTACTGTGGCCGCAGCCCAAGAACGGCTGCAGTGTGGCCCGACTCCAGTCCCAGCCCACAGGGCAGCTGCCTGCCCCATTGCCCAGCTCCAGGACAGCTGGGGCTGGGACCATGGTACTAAAAATAGCACCGTTGCTCTCCCCTCCAGTCCTAGCACACAGGGCAACACGCTTTTTGTGCCAGGACCTGAGCCAGGGTGGCAGTGTTATTTTTAGTATCATAGTCCTGAACCCAGGAACCACGGCTTCAGCTGCTCCCAGGGCTGGGCCACAAGGCGAGCAGCTGCCTCGTGCCAGGCCTGGAGCCAGGCCATGGTGCTGTTTTAGATTGGCCAGGCTTCCTAATGTGTGTCAGAAGCAAAGATTTGAAATAAAAGTACATAGCCAATACTCATAACTTCAAATATAAAAATGATGCATATATATGAATAGTATAAACAGAATCAGCAATTCATACGCTTTCTATAGACATTTCACTTGGCCCACTTTGTACAAGATTTGGTGCAGACATATGGCAATGGTATCATATCAAAATTCAGTAATGTCACACTATGTCAACTCTGGTTTGGCATGGTCCTAGATCTGTTGGTAACAGCTCCCCTTACACTCCCACTCCATCTGGACCTAATTTCACAAGACCATGGATGGTTGCTTATCCAGACCTGACCTCCTTGCACCTAACTGCATGGATTTTGCATGGCTGAATCCAGAAGAACAGGCTTGTTTGAAATGGGTCCAGTAGATCTAGCTAGCTGTAGTAGAAAGTCTTCCATCAGGGCTACCTCCCTGGCTAAGTGGAAGTGCTTCTCAGTTTGGTCATCTTGACATGGTCTCTCTTCATCTCAGTCTTCCCTCCCGTCTATCCTGGATTCTTTGTTCCAAATAATGCAGCAGGACCTGGCCCATACATCTATCAGAGTGCACTTAGCATCCATCTCAGCCTTCCATCCTCGGTGAACAGCATGTCATCATTACCCAGCAAGATGACGATACTGTTTCTCCTAGGGCTGGATATGCTCTGTCCTTAGTCACAAGCTAACCCCCTATGGGACTTAAACTTGGCTCTGTTAAGACTCTCGGTTCTCCTCATTGAGCTGTTAGCACTGGGCACTTGCTACTCTTGGAAGGTTGACTTCCTGGTCACCTCGGCCAGAGGGTTTTTTAAATTAAAGCCTTTGTCACACTTGCTTTATACAGTATTCTTTAAGAACAAGGTCCAACTGCACCCCCATCCAACCTTCCTACCAAAGGTGGTGTCACAATTCCATAACAACCAAGATATACTCCTACCAATCTTCTTTCCAAACCTCATAAGGGCTCTGAGAAATGGCAGCTCCACTTGTTGGATCTTAGTCATGTCTTCGTTTTTTATATTGAGAGGATTAAACCTTTCCTGAAGTCCACACAACTCTTTGTTTCAGTAGTGGAAAGGATGAGAGGACTTCCAGTGTCATTTCAAAGGACCTCTTCCTGGAAAGCGGTCTATATTTGGGCTTTCTATGAATAGGAGCAAGTCTTGCCTCTGGGCATCTTAATCAGTCACTGAACAGGAGGTTAGACTTTATCAGCAGGATTTCTTATGCAGGTCCAAATCCAATATGCAGTCTACATGTCTATGAACTCTGAGCCCGCCTCCTGAGGTATTGCTTGTGAGCTATCTAACATGGAGTGGACATGAGCAAGCATTCAAAGAAAAAAGGGTTACATGTCCGTTCCATGACCCACTCCTTAACCCGTCTGTCAGAGTTAACCTTCAAGAAGAAACTCAGAAGGGTTGTGGCCATTATAATGGTGCATAAATGCATGACTCCAGAGGATGATAGGTCCAGCCTGCTAAGTACCACTGAGGTTACCTGTTCACATCCCTACACTTCAGTTCACACACAAAAATCATTAGCTCAAGTGGAGTGAAGTTCTGGGGTAACACTCAAGTTATAATTTGAGCTGATACTGTGGTGAAGAGAAACCCTGTGTGTGATATGGGGCAAATATAAATATCTCTAAAAATGATCATACAGTCAGCTGATTTCAGTGTAACATTCAGATTTAAATAAACACCTCTAACTGAAATTAAGTTAAAAACGAAATGAAAGCAGATTTGAGTGCTACACCCAGCGTTAATTTTCTTTAACAATACTCGTGGTTTACAATCGCTTTTCTTTACTTGAATGTAATATATATGCTTTTTTCTGTGAAAGACCCACACAAACAGCAAGGTTACCTTGACTTAAAACTTTTCCAGTACTAGAAGCCTTTGGTCTTTCTTGTATCTGTAATAGGTACCAGATTTTCAAACAGCAGTGTAACTTTAAAAAAAAATGTTAATTATGTCCCTTTAATGTTAGCAGTAGGAATAATCAGTTAACTAGTTGAACCTTAGGTTTAACCAATTAAGCAGGATCCAGCTGCCCCCCCCCCCCGCTTGGGGTTGCTGGCTGCTCCCCGTAGCTCTGCCCACTTGGGCCTGCGAGCAGCTGCATTCTCCCCCCTCCATTGCACGGGACGGACTCCAGACCCCAATGAGGCTGGACCAGCCCTCCGCTCTCGTACCTGGGTACTGGCTGACTGGTTACTAACATTCCTAGTTACTAGTCAAGTGCCTGTTTGAACTTTACCAAATGATGATAATTTGCTTTTTCCAAAGGTGGGAATGTATATTGTCTCATGCACATCAAAATTGTTCTGAGAGACTTGAGAAAGTATTGGTTAAAATGATTTAATTGTGGAAATAACTTTATTTTTCCATTTTTCTTTCAGCTGGACAAACTCCACCACGTCCACCTCTAGGTCCTCCTGGTCCCCCAGGCCCACCAGGTCCACCTCCTCCTGGTCAAGTTCTTCCTCCTCCATTAGCTGGTCCTCCTAATCGTGGTGACCGTCCACCACCACCAGTTCTGTTTCCTGGACAACCCTTTGGTCAGCCTCCTCTAGGTCCACTTCCTCCTGGTCCTCCACCTCCAGTTCCAGGCTATGGCCCTCCTCCAGGTCCACCACCACCACAGCAGGGTCCACCTCCACCTCCCGGCCCTTTTCCCCCTCGTCCACCTGGTCCACTTGGGCCTCCCCTGACACTTGCTCCTCCTCCACATCTTCCTGGGCCACCTCCAGGTGCTCCCCCACCTGCTCCACACGTGAATCCAGCTTTCTTCCCCCCACCAGCCAATAGTGGCATACCTACTTCAGATAGTCGTGGTCCACCACCAACAGATCCATATGGCCGACCTCCACCTTATGACAGGGGTGACTATGGTCCACCTGGCAGGTGAGTGCTTTTAGTGCTATGTGGTTGGTAGCACACTTATTCCACATAGGAGGTACCAGATTCCTTTTGGCTTTTAGGTAGCTTCTTTTCCAGTTTCTTCACTAAAACATCGGTCAGACTATTTTGCTAAGTGTAAAAATATCCTCAGATCCAACATCCATCTCCTCTTTTTGCCTCTTCAACTCAGACCTCTATTTGCCTTTGCTTTTTGTAATCTTGGTATAATTGTCATTCTCCAGTATTTTCTGTTTCTATCTGGCACTACCACTGAAGTGGTTTATTTATGCTTTTGCCTCAGCAGTACCACTAGAAATGTTCACCATCATCTTTTCATAATTTGTCTATTTGCTAACTGTCTTGTCTTATGGCCTTTCCAAATCCCAGCTCTGCAAACTCCACCAAGTGTAAAATACTACAGTCCTTTTCCTTAACATTTGTATGTACAGTATAGTACAAAGAACCATGACTATATCTCCCTCATTTTCTTGCAACTGCACTGGCCACTATTGGTATCCTTATACAAAAACATCTGGTTTTTTGTTTGTTGTTTCTGTTTCTAGGACTTTTACCTTTCTTTCTCTCCCAGCTCCATCTGCTTACCTTGTACCATTCTTACTATAGTTGAAGCAAAATCCTTCTCTGCAACTCTGGCGATCTGAAAGTCTTCCTGAGTCTCAGATCTTATATGAAATATCTCTTCTCCTTTGCCTATACCTTTGAGTGTCTTTATCACTACACTGTTGTTTATTATCCGTTGTATTTGTGTTAAGCTCCTATAAAGCATTTGGGGACAGTATGTAAGAAAGGCGCTGTACGAAATGAAGTTTTATTATATTTACATATAGACCTTCTAAGTTATAATGGTCATGGTTCCAGTGTGAGGAAGACATGTATATTCTGTCCTTTAATATTTTATTTTTTCTGTTTCTGTTTGGGCAGTTGATTCTGATTCTACCAATTGTTCATGGAATTCAAGAGTAACAATCAGTTATTTATAAATGTAATGTTCATGTAGAAATTGTATATTTAGGGCAGCATTTGGCATAATTACCTTATATATAATCATAATAAACACCAGGTCTCTTCTGGTATCCTAGATTGAGATTGTCCACAATTTGTAGAAGGATGGGGGAGGAAAAGGGTGGGAAAACAGGACAGAACCACTGCATTTGCTGTCCAATATTTTCATTATAATAATTTCAAAATTATAATCCATAACTATTTAAATTGTCATTAATTATATATCATAGGCGTTTCACTGGAAATAACATGTCCATAAGAGAACAATTACATATTCCATTGTATTGGAGGCATACGAAAAATAATACTCAAAACTCAGGGAGGTATGAATTTTTAGACATTTCCTCTTATGCTAAACTGGCTATAGGATCTTGTTCCACTTCTGATAGCATTGCTTATCATTCTGCATTTTCTTTCTACCAGAATAACTAACACTGTTTTAGTAATATTATCCAGCAGTGAGCCAATTTAACAGTCTCGTCCTTTAACATCATCCTCCAGTTATTCTGTATAACAGAGACTGGCTGATAGAACACTGCAGAATTGGATGGGAAATTTTTAACCTCATTTTGGATAGGTTAATTTCCATTTCTGTGGAAACCAAATACAGGTGGTCAATAAAATATTTACAGCACTTAGTGAATACAAGAATTCCCTTTTACAGTGCTAAGTGTAAGCTTGACACTTTCTTCTTAAGATTTCTCGTTAAACAGTAAATTGGAGCACCCTTGAACTTGACCAAAAAAAATTGGAAATTAACACAAAAGTAAAATTTTTGAAATGTCATTCAGGAAGTGGAGCATTAATAATGCTAGACCATATTTACTTCATCTGCTGCATAATTTAAAGTCCTGCTGTGATAGTTAGGGTGGGGGCCTGGGAGCCAGGAACTTGTGAGTTCTGATCCCATTTTTGGTATAAATTCCATCTCTGACTGTGGGCACGTCACTGGACTCCCCTGCTTCAGTGTCCCTGTCTATACTATAAGGATAATACCTGCTGGTATCACAGAGGTGTTGTGAAGATAAGCTGATATTTGTAAAGCATTTTTGAAGATGGAAAGCACAATATAATTGCTTATAAATCTTCAGTATAAATGGATGGTCAAAGATGGCTTAAACGTATTTACACAGCAGATGTTTTAATGGTATTGTACTTTTTCTTTCTGCAAGTTTTATACCATAAAACATTTTTTTAAACCAAAAAAACCAAAAACCCGCTTTCTGTCTTGTTTGTCACTTTGCTTAAAGTTGCAAACTTGAGTTGTTAACTGCAATGCTATCTTCGTAAGCTTTGGGTTACTTTTTTTAAACTTTGGTTTTATTACTTGCAGAGAAATGGATGCTGCAAGAACACCTTTAAGTGAAGCCGAGTTTGAAGAAATCATGAATAGAAATAGGGCCATCTCAAGCAGTGCCATTTCAAGAGCTGTGTCAGATGCCAGTGCTGGTCAGTAAATCTTTAGTGTCCCTCCTGTTCCATCCAACTAAAAGCAATGTATATAACTTCCCCATGAGAATCTTGGAGGTGTGAAGCCACTTTTCTGATTATTTTTTTAAAATGCTCTTCTGATTGTAGATCTATCTTAGGACTGACTTGCTTTCAATTATACTCAAATTAGATTTATATGGACACTTATTGACTTACAGATATAGACCATGTTTTTAATAGCTGTTCCACAGCAGTGGCCTCAATGGCTGTTGCAGACCAACTGTTAAAGGGTAATAGCTTTACAGATAGATTTTATTACATGTTCATCTTTTTAATCCACTAACAGCAAATTTACTTCTTTTCAGGGGACTATGGAAGTGCTATAGAGACTTTAGTAACTGCCATTTCCTTAATTAAGCAATCCAAAGTGTCTGCTGATGATCGTTGTAAAGTACTTATTAGCTCTCTTCAGGATTGCCTTCATGGAATTGAGTCCAAATCTTATGGTTCTGGATCAAGGTAGAGTTTTCCGGTTTCATTAACTAGCTACAATCTAAACAAACAAGACCTATAAGGAATAGGCAGAAGGTGTTTTATTCTCATTTTGCGAATGGGGAACTGATGCACAGAATAATTAAATGATTTGCCTGAAATTGATTCGAGATCTTCTGGTGCTCAGTCAGTTGTTTTAAATGCAAGGCCATCCTTCCTTCCACAAATTGACCTCTTTAGTTTCTTGTTAACTGTAATTTAATTAGTTACATTTCTTTAAGTGCTGCAGTAATAGCACGTAAACATCAAGACACTTAATACGAAACTTGTGACCAGATTGATTCTTAATCATGATTAAGAATGTATTAAATTAAGTACTCTTAATCTAAATTACATACAGTGACCTTTAATTTTTATGATACAATTATCTGTATTCTTCTGGATATCTAGGTATCTGTAGAGATAATAATGAATTTTAAATGGAAAGAAAATTGGTAATTTTCTTTTCTTATCGTAATAATTATGTATTAAGGCTACTAAGAGAAGACCTGAGGGGGAAACACAGATTGGAGTTCATCAGGCTTAACCCAGTACTAATCAGAGCTATTCATAATTCTGTAATTCAGCTCCATTCTAGGGTTATCAGGGTGTAGATGGCTACATGATTAACCGATGAGCCTGGGCTCATTGGTTAATCCTATTGACTACATGAACTGCCCCCTTCTGTATCAGAGGCAGCAAGGGGGGAGGAGGTGGGAACCAGTGCTGTGGAGCTCCCCTCTCCTTCCCTCCACGCTGCTGCCCCTGATAGAGGCACCATGCAGGGTGGGAGTAGCAGGCAGGAGCCGGTTCATGCAGGGAACCAGCTTTCAAGCTAGCCGCCTGCACATACTGGCTCTCGTGGCCCCTCGGCCCCTTCTCCCCCTGACTGCTGCCTTTTTATCAGAGGCAGCAACACTGGGGGCAGGCGGGACCTGGTATGTGTGGGGAGCTGGATCTGTGACGTCCCCCCCGCTGCCTCCCACAGAGGTGAGGAGGTAGGCAGGAGCCTGTTCTCCACTCCCTCCCCGCCACACACACAAGATGCTGCCTCTATCAGAGGCAGTGCGGTGGGAGAGGGGCAGGGGTGGCTGCTGCAGAGCAGTCTTTATCCACGGCAGGTCCAGGCTCACTGTGACCAAGGCTGCTCCATGGGATGCCGACAGCCTCTGCCTCTGTATCAGCGGTAGCAGCACTGGGTTGCAGGAGGCTGTCTGAGAGTGGGGCTGGGAATGCACTACCTGCTGGCCCTGCCCCTGGGGACTATCGAATAATCATGTAACTGTTAAAATTTGATGAGGTTACACTACTCTTCAATTAGACGCTAATATCCCTACTTGAATACCAAGTCTGCACTATTACGTATTTGATGTCTGCTTAAAATAAAAAACAGATTCATCCCCTCTCTGCACTATATACATATACATCTCTGTATCAAAACAAATAGATCTTTTTTCTTTATTAGTGTTCTTGCTTGAGTATTTTTATTTTATTAAACAAGCAGAACTCTACCCATCTTAATTTTCTAGTGTTACGTTTGTGTTTTGAGTAAAAATTAATGAAATAATTTCTTTTAGAAGACGTGAACGGTCAAGAGAGAGGGACCACAGCAGATCAAGAGAAAAAAGCAGGCGTCACAAATCCCGTAGCAGAGATCGCCATGATGACTATTACCGGGAAAGAAGCCGTGAACGAGAGAGACATCGTGATCGTGACAGAGATCGTGATAGAGAGCGTGACAGAGAACGAGAGTATCGTCATCGTTAGAGAAGGTGGGCATTTTGGTTTTGTGGGGTTGATGGGTGCTTGAATTAACAGTAACTACTTTGAGTTTGGGATTATTTATACAGTAAATATGTGTACTTAAGTGTGATCCAGCAGTATGTACTGAATCCTTTCCTTCTTGTAGAATGTGAAGTGAACTTCGGTAAGTAATGACAGGTAACTATCTGGACTTGATGTGTTTTTTTTGTTTTACTTTTGCTAATTGCATGAATGTGTAACTTCTGTGGTGTAGTGTTAATCTTTTTCAATTTTTATGGATGGGAGGATTGAGCACATTAATTTTCTATAGCCTTTTCAGAACACTAATCAAAAGAAAGTCTTTTCTTGCTTATCTAAACTATAGATATTAGAATACCCACATCTCTTAATCACATTTTGCAGGTTCATATTAAGAAATGTTCAAATTGTGATTATTTCATTGTAGACAGGACTTTCATATATATAAAATCCAAAGGCCTACGTCTTACAGAGCTAGCTCATTTCTTGTACAGATGAATTTTCTATTGGTAGCAGTGAAAGCTTTGCTCAAGTAAGGACTGCAACAGTACTTGGCTCTTTATTTTATAAAATTTAACTTCTTGATATTTTCTGGTCCTTGAACTAAATTCAGGTGGTGTCTCCTGTCAGCTTTCTGTGTTGCACAGTTGGTGAAAGAATTTCTACCTATAATCTCAGGATAGGTAAACAAACGTACGACACTGGGAATGGGATCTTTTTCCGTAATTTTACACTTACTATAAAAAGTGTTTAGACATTCACAGTCCTTTAATGCATTTAACTTTATTTAAAAAAAACAAGTCCACCAACTATCTTATCAGCTGTAGAGTAGCACTTTGGGTAGACACTTAATGAACTCTGGTTAGCCATTGAAAAAAGTCAATGTAAATATTCATTGCATATATAACTTGGATATATACACAAATCAGTCTCAGGATCTTGAATTGAAATTGCTTGACTTTTCTTGAATTTGACAATTTAAACCAAAACCTCTCTGTCATTTGGAAGTCATCAGGTTTAGAACACTTCCTTAATATGCTACATTAAAAGTCATTCTTATGTTTACTGTATGAATTTAAGAAACATAGTTTAATTTGACATTTAGTCATAGAAATTCATTTGAGACATTAATTTAGTTGAAGCTAAATTATTTTGAGACTCATGAAAATCTTAGGAAGCTTTAAGTAAAAGGAGTTTTATAAGCCATTTACAATGAATGTCTGTTTTTCTTGGCAGGCCTTATAGCATTTCTGTGCACTAGAAACCTGAGTCTGACCCCAGAATATCTGAGCCCACTTGATATTGAGACAATATGCATTGTCCTTGATTCATACATGACTTAGTGGTTGATCCATACTGTAATGGCCTATGAAAGGGAAATTAAATGCATAAATGAGTCCGGAAAAGAGGCCGCTGAAGTGAAGTTGGCAGTCATATACATTAAGTGACAGTGGCTACTTTTTTACTGTATCCTGTTTTAGTACAAACCTTCCTGGAATTCTCCCGTGTCTGCTAAGCATAAAATGTCAAAACAAAAAGTTTCAAAATTCACATGATTTAATGTGGTTTCTTTCATTAAAGTTGGATTCTCTTCAGCTACCATGGATTAGTTTTTAAGTATATCGCAGAACCTCAAAGTTATGAACACTTCAGTAATGGAGGTTGTTTGTAACTGAACAAAGCATTGTGGTTGGTAGTTTACATATGAACATTGACATAATACCACTTTGATACTTGATTATGTAGAAAATACGTTGCTTTCCCTTTTTTTAGTGGTTTTTGTTTAACACAGTTCTGTACTGTATTTGCTGCTAAGTTTGTTAGGGGTGTTTTTTGTCTCTGCTGACTTGCACTTCATTTGAAATCAGAAGTAAATTGGTCAGTTCGTAACTCTGGTGTTCCTAACTTCGAGGTTCTGCTGTATTGTGCTACCTGTAGGTAGTATTGTTTCGGAGGTAACCCCAGAAGGTGCATTTCAAAAGCTTTCACTTCTTCAGTGGGAGATGAGTAAATGAATTAAACTGTTAATTTGAGGTTCCCTAAATTAACAGTAAGGTGGGGAGTTAATTTAGATGCATTTGGTCATTGAATATTTATATTTTCATGTATTCAGACTAGATGTTTGCATCGTGGAACTTCTATACTAAGTATAGGTATATTTTCTCAGACAAAATGTCTAAGGGGACATTGTTGTATTTTGTAGTTGTCATAATGCTAATTTATTTATATGCTTGCACAATTTAAGCGTGCTGTGTAAGATTATCTGGTTTATTCAACTCTCAGTACACATGGGATTTACATATGCAACCCCTCCTTTAAATCTGTAAGCTGTATACCAGAACTTCAATTAAGATTCAGAGGAGTTGAGTAGAGTAGATACATTCCCCTTCATCAAGAGGAAAACAAACCGCAATAACTTTATTTAAAGGACAGATTTAGAGGTCTACATGTAAATGAGAGATTAGTATTTTAAAAGATAAATGGTAAAAAGGTTGTTGTCCTTTCAAAGAAGGGCTTAATTTTTGTAGTTTTTTGTAAAGTACTTAGTTTCAGTAATCTTCTGATGTGTATTTCATTTTTGCCAGGATATATCTTTTCATCCTTTTTTGAGAGGGTGTGGGGAGGTATTAGATTTGTTCATGAGCAGTAATCAAAGGTTCCCAGTCACTTACTAAAGTAATAGAAATACTGAGAGGAACATTTTACCCCCTTGATCTCCGTGTTTTATCAGATAATGCGAGTTTGTCTGTGCTTAAAAGATATGAATGACAATGGTTTTCCTCTCTTAATTCCCATGTAAATTTAGTAATGCTTTGATACCCTACTGGCATATTTTAACAAAAATGTTAAACATGCTCATTTTAGAAGGGTTTTAAAAAGTTCATTGTAAATTTTTGTATACTGTGAAACATTAATCAATTTTTATTACTCATTTTGTCATTTGTATCTACTTGCATTCATATAGTCGAATTAAATTTGAATAATTTAATGTTTTATTTTTAAAAATTGAAAAAAATCAAATGTAACATATCAAAATTTCACACTTCTGTTTGTACATTTAGTGATCAAAACCTAAGTTGTCAAGTTGACTTATGCACTTTCACTTGGGCAGTTGGTCCTTATGTGCATTGCCAGCGTAATCTTGGCAAATAGTTATTTAATTTGAATGTTTTCCTGAAGGCTGTAACTTTTGGTAGTAGTGTGGTGGTATAATTTATTAATATAAAAGAGCAGAACAGTGTTTGATTTTAAAAAAAGGTTACCTTTGTGGTGTGAGGTAATTTTCTAGAGAATCAAAAACCAATGGTGGTGTTAATCAGAGAAATTTGATTTAGAGGAGGAGTGAATATGTACAAACAGAAAAATAATGTAACTTCCATCAACATTCCCGATTTTTTAGAAAGGTTTTAGTTTAACTGGTGGTTTAATTATGTATTTCAACTATTATTGTCCCATCTTACTCTCACTGTCTGGATTTTAATAACTTCTGAATGTTACACATTATTTCATTTTATGTTTTTTGTTATTGGGACAGCTGTTTTTGAATTGTATAATTTTTGCACAATCTGAATTTGGAATGAACTGCAAAGAGAAGTACACAAGCATTGTAATTTTCAATTGTATGTAGACTTTGTGCTCCATTTTTCATAACTTATTCCTCTTGTTCTCAGACCACTGTAAGCAAAATCCTTAAGACTTCTAGTGTGCTTTGGGAGTATGTAGTCCCAAAATAACGTACTTTTGTCAATCGGTAGTCAAATAATCTTGAGTATTAGTGTCTCCTAAAAATTCACACAATTTGTCCTTTATGTATAGAAGAATATTGTACTTCATAATAAATTGTTACAGATAGATTTCTGTTTTCCATGGAATGCTCATAAGACTGACAAGCACTTCCCTTGTTAAATATCAGATAAATGAGCCTCTTTATTTTTTATTTTTTTTAAGAACTTGGCAATTAATAAAAAATGTTTATTTTGCAGATTTGTTTTATTATTAAATATTGGCTTCTATCAAATAATAATAATACCATTCAGTGCCTAACTGTACTCTTTGGCATTGTTTCAGTGGTAGTTAATATTGGGTCATTTTTCTCAGATACAGCTAGTGTCTTATTTTAAAAGAATATTATACTGGAAATACAATGCTAATTTGGAAACTGAAAAAGATGGCAACATCTATAGAATATGCAATATTATGTCTTTCCTTATACTATGGAAACTTTTTATTTCTGTCAAATGAATAGACCTTTTTTGTAGAGCTAGCATTACGTATAAGAGGTATCATACTTTTTGTACATTTGGTTGAATACATGAAACTCATTCTGAAGAAGAGAATGTAAAAGAGAATCTGTACCTCTGTGGTATACTGTTTCTGCTGTATAGAATGAATTTTATTGTATTGATTGTGATTGCCTCAGTTCTTAGCGGGAGCGGGTAGTCTATTGTTTAAAAGAATATGATGCCTTTGCACAATTTCTGCACTTTCATCATCTCCTTCAGGGGTCCTATGATGAAATCCATGTTTGATTTTTTAGGAAGCAAAACTAAAATCTTGCCCTGTTTAACGCTTTTCAAATGTATAATTGCTTACTGTTTCTGATTCCTATTGGTATCTGATACCATTTTTTTTGTCTGCACACATTACTGTAATTTTCCTGCCAATCTTATGTTGCCTATTGCTGGACCTAGGATTAATTATATTTCCCTCTTCCATACACCTTGCATTCTCATTCCCCTTAGTTGTACAGTACAGACTGAAATTTGCATTTTGAAGCAGTTCCACGAGGAATGTATCTAAGGTCACTGCTTTACATTTGAAAACTGTTGAAGGGCTGACTGGATGTAGCATTGTCCAATGAATAAATACATTTCATTAGTTTTTTTTTTTTTTGCTTACTGTGGTTTGAGAACTAAATTGTTTGATTTTTTTTTTTAAACAAACATATACAGTATATCTCTTTTTATGTTTATCTGTGGCAGTTTTATCTGCCTCTGTGTGTTCCTCATGCCCGAATCGGAAAGATACTTACCATCTTTTTAATTTGTCAACTAAACTTAGTTTTGTCTTTTCAAGGACAGAAATTGCATTTTATTTTTTTAACAAATCCTTGTGAATATGTTTTGTATTCTGTAAAAGCGTATATATTTCAGTATAAATGAAGTCCTATTTTTAAAAGTCTGATTTATTATAGGTAAAACACTGCAACATTAAAAATCTAATTTGTTAGGTAAATTGATTTATTAGGCTGTTCTCCGCTGAACATATTTATGACCTTATAGAATAGGGTTTTAGTGACATGAAAGTGGAGTTTAGGAATACATTTTCCTTTCTTAATAGTTATTGTAGTGGGATAGGTGGTTTTTTTGGTCAACATTAAGGTTGAACAAAGGTGCAAGGTAAGTACAGTAGTATTAGGTGAAGAAGCATAATATGTTAAAGAGTAGTAATGAAAGCATAGTAACATTTACACTAATGATAAACAAAATGGAATTCACACAGTATCTTCTCATTTAAATACAGAAGAACAAATGAATTTAGAGTCATGGTTGAAATTGTTCTCTCCTCATCCTGTTGCATCTAAGTGTTACTGAAAAATATAATGACACTGTTATGAGTTATGTAATATTATGGATACTAGGTTGAGTTGAGGAATAAAGTTCAGCCTTGAAACTGAAGTTTTGTAAGATTTTACCTTTGTGTATTAATTTTTTGTTTGTGTATAAAATGAGATAAAAGGAGATTTTATTGAAGTACATGAACACCTTAGGAACCATTAGTATGTGGAATAAATCTGTATTTTTACTGTTTTTCCCAATTGTGAATATACTGTGATAGACTGTAACTGTTCCTTGAAATGGGTACATTTGTTTAGGATATTGCATTTATTTAAAGGCACATGCACATAAAACCTTTTAAAATATGATAGAAGAGAGATGTCAGACTTTCATTTCATAGCTGTTAAAATAATTATATGGCTATCTAGATGTTTTATTACAAATATTGCAAACTGCTACTGCATGCACAGATACACATGTTCTCAAAAGAACCTTGATCCATGTAAAAACAGTATGTTACAAATGAAAATTTCACTCTGTATATGAAAAACAAAAAGTACCCAATAGTATCAAATTAAATCATTATATAAATATGCCTTAAGACAGTGGTTCTCAAAATATGGTCCATGGGTAAATAGTGGTATGTGACCATCTTGCAGATGGGCCTTGGTCTCGGAGATCACCCTCTCGTTACGGTGCAAAGACTATGCTGGCACTCCAGTTCCGCACCTCCGTCTCAACGAGATTGGAGTGCCAGCACCAGCTTCCCGTTGCGGGAGGGGATGTCAGGGCAAGCCTCGCAGTCTGGATCTGGTTTGCAGGGGAAGGAAGTGGTTCTGTGCACTGCAGCTCCCCCTTCGCCCAGCTGGGGGATAGCAGCGCAGGAAACTACTCACTTAGGCTATGGCTACACTGCCACCCTAGTTCAAACTAGGGTGGCTAATATAGGCATTCGAACTTGCAAATGAAGCCCGGGATATTTAAATCCCGGGCTTCATTTGTAAGTTCGATTGCCTACATTAGACACCCTGGTTCGAACTAGGGCAGAAGTGTAGACATACCCTTAGAGGCTTTCTCTGCTGCTCCCATTGGCCAAAATCATGGCGAATGGGAGCAGTGGCGGGAAGTGTCTGGGAGAGGTGGGGTGCTCGGAGCCAGGTAAGCACCCCATGTCCCCATCACCCTCACACACACCCTCCTACTGAGACCTTGCACTCTCTCTGCATCCATTTTGTTATGAGTACTTGGCTGGTGATCTGTGGAAAGGTCTGTGTTGAGCAGGGTGGGCTGTGGGCCAAAATGTTTGATAGCCATTGCCTTAAGAGGTGAGCAAAGTATTTGAGACAACTTTTGTGTGATTAAGGGGCATACACCAAAATCAAAAGTTTTATCTTAAGTGGGCTCTTTCATAAGTGAGACATTTAAAATGTGAAAAAAAATTGGTTTTGTTAATAGGAACATTGGGAAACTCTTTATAGCAATAAGCAGTTCTGAGTCAAGGAGAGATGTGGTATTACCAAATGGCATTAACTACAAATATTTTAATATGTTACATATTGCATTTTACCCTTTTTATAAGCTATTTTGTACTTCAGGGTTCTGTAGAGTAGAATGTTGAAGATTTTAATGCATACAGATTTATTTCCTTCCATAAGAAGCTTTACATCTAAGTTTGCTAATTACCCAGACAGGACATGTAGACAGGGTTTTTTTTGTTGTTTTTTAATGAGAATTTACTAGTGGGGAATTTTAGTGTTTTGCAATTTGTAATTTATATAGTATAAACATAATCTTGACAGTCTCTTAAAATCTGCATAGTTCCCAAATTAAAAAGTGGTGATCATCCTGTACAGGTTCTTCAAAAGTACCTGTGATTCTTTAGAAAATCTAGCAAACTCTCCCATTGGACCCAAAATTTTTATTCTGTACTGTAAATAAATTTATACTTTTGGATCTGTTAACTGTCACTGTAGAAGTGCTTAAAGATCCACTCTTCCTGCACAGAATTGTATTGCTAGAGCAGCAAATTCTGACATGCAGTCTCACATCTGTCATTTATTTGCTTCTTTGAAATATTGAGATCCCCTGTTTGCTTGAATGGCTTGGCTTTCAATTGCAAATGTTTGTTATGCATGCAGGTGACACTTTAGTTCCACTTTGCTATTGAAAAATCAAGTCTTAAAAGCAGCTATGGGGATCTAGTCTCTACTGGAGGAGAGACTCCCCAACGGAAATCACTAAAGAATACGTTTATCTCTTGATAGCAAAGTTCATAAATTTGAAAAGGTCTTCCAGGCATTATTCAAATTTGAGTGGTTCTGCTGTTTGCAGACTGTAGTATATAAATAATAAACTCATTTGGTTTTTATTTAAAAAACCCCATTAGCGGTCATTGTGGGAGAAGGAAGGGCAACTGATTAATTATCATTTCTATACATTTACATTGCTTCCTAATTGAACCATTTTAGTAGTGAAATAATCCTTTCACAGCTGTGCATTGGTGTGTGTTCATGAAATTGCTTCTCTAAATGTCTACTTTTTGAAATGACCCATTAATGTGTTGTGTTCTTTAAGCAACTTGATTTAAATTTTTATGAAGTTGTTGAATGTGGAAATTGTGATCTACTGATAAAATACAGCTAACTAGTTGTGTTTTGTAATGGAATTTAAATGAAGCATCAGTAAATGGAATTATACCAGCCCATGTGAACTCTATAATATTGAGTTGTTATGGTTCTTTTATTAGACTGCTGATAGAATTAGTCTTACTAGGAAGTAGGGTTTTTTTGTTTTGCTTTTGTGTGGGAAACCTGAATTCTCATCTGTATTGTATTTATTTTAAACAGAGCAGGTTTTTGTAATTTTGTGATGGTACATTTTTTAAAAATCTGGGGCCCCTATTCATTTATTTTAGTTTCTAAATTTTGTAACATTGGCATCAACCCCCCCCCCAAAAAAAAAGGTGTGGTCTGTTAAATATATTACTAATTTGTAAAATGCCTACTTTATTAAACATTTAATGCAGATATTTAATTGTGAGAGAGCTAGTTTCAAATTACTGTAAATGGGTGGGTAAAAATGTAAAGAACAAATCTGGTTGTAGCAGCAGCATCCACACTTTTCTTATTGACTATGCATACTTCAGGAAATGTTCTATATAAATGTTTCCATCCTTCACAGAAACAGTAGCTATTTGTTTCTTGTGATTTGGTGTATATCATTGTTAAATTGCATTCTTCAACTTGTACACTTACTAATTTATTAAAAATAGATTACTATTTTATAAAACAATTACACTTTGAGAATTCTCAAACAAGTTAGCTATTGCTTCAGTACCTTTTATTTGTGTTAGATTACACTATGGTGAAGTATGTGCACGACTTGTGTATGTATAGTTAAGCCAACATTTTTCTGTGTATTATGGGGACTAGCAAAATCTACATCACAAATTTTGACACATTACAGCTGAAGGAAGAGGAACACCTTGCAAGACAAGAAACATTCTTCATGGAAAGATGCTTGTCCAGCGGTTTGCTTCTTGTGATTGAACTGAGCCTATAAGGATTCATGGATAAAATGAACAGGAATAGATCTGAATAAAGCAAATCTGCATACATGGTAACCAGTAGCTCTTTTACTTTTTTATGTTGCTTAACTGTTTTATTTGAGGGAAACCTGTGTGATTTAAAACTTATAGCTTTTGCAACTTTATTACTGGTTATATACATTTGGCAATTATAATGTGCAAGCAATTGGAAAAAAAGTCAAGTAAATCCTTGTTTTTATAGTAGTTTGTTCTTGTTAAAAATGTTCATATGATGATGTCTGTACACAGCACCACTTTGATTACAGTAGATGTAGTGTTGTAATAAACTCTTTAATGGGGCTGATGTGTAAAGCTGTTCCAGTTATTTGATGTTTACACCTCAGGGAAAGTCTTGTGTTCAGCAATATTTAAATATGATGATTCTATGAAAACATTTATATTGTGTTTAAAAAGCATTGCAATAGAGTTTTTGCATATGCATCTACCTAATCTTGCATTCAGAGAGTTAAAAATGTGAATGCCACTCTTTCACACTTGATTTTGATATACAATTAGGTTATTACACAAAGGCTTTAATTGCTTTTCTAGCAATTTTTACATATATGACTTGTAAATTTGCTGAAAGGCATGTAAAATTGTATAAACTGCAGTTTGTTTAATATTATGTGATCCACATAGTCTGTCATTGTTTTGGGGAGAGGAAATCCTGGGTTTATGATTTTAGTAAACTGAAAACTAACTCCTCCAACATGCAGCTGGACTAAGACACGACAGTTTACATTATTTTCATTTAAACTGTTAACTTTGGGAAAATGCTGGCCTTTTTGAAGTACAGCTACAGTTATGGTTTTATGTTAATAATGTTTGTGTTTTAGCTTTTTCCCTAGGCCATAGGCAGTCTGTACAAAGCTGTATATTAGAAAAATGTGAGTGACAAAACCAGTCATGATTACTCCACTTTTTCAGATAATATGGATTCCAGTGGGCTTGGTATTTTCTTAACACGGGTTTATCCATGCATCCGTGTAAAAAGGGCAAGGTACATTTGTACATCCCTTGTGCACTGGTGGGGAATACTTTACTGCCTTAGCAAAACGGTGAAATTGACTAATTTAGTCATGAGGTTTTGCAAACTTGTCTTAAAAACAATTTGTTGGAGGCTGGAATTCAAATATATTAACTATCAGAACGTGAACTAAAGAGTGAAAGCAAATTTCAAATTACTAGAATTTGTTCTAAATTTTATGAAGGATAAAATATTGAATAATAGGAAGCGTGTATAACACTTGACAAATTTACAATTTGCTTTTACTGACTGGTGTGGATATTCATTCTTGAAACATACTTTTAATCACTTTAATAGATTAGTCTGAGTTTTCACTTGTACAAATAGCTTGCTGAGCATGATTTTTTAAAATGTTTTAAACTAAGTTTCAAGACCTCAGTGGCTTCAAAAGGTAATCTTTAAAACAAATCATTGGTTTGTTTTATAACTGAATTTTATGTTAAGTATTAAGGCCCCATTAAGGATATTGAACTTGGGCCTGTATCCTGTGCAACTGCAAATGCTTTCCATAACACTGAGAATCTTAACTTTTAATTTTTGTCATCTATCATCATGCTAGATTTACTGAATGGCTTATACTATTGGACTTTTCCATATTTCTCTGCGCATTTTTATTTCTTAACTTCTGTACCTCAGTACCTCCGTTTTTCATGCATGGGATCATTGTTGTTTGTCAAACTTACTTTTGAAAAATAATTAAGATGTTTAACCCTGTTTAAAAATGAAAACTGATTTTTAAATCTTTGTATACTAAACATTGTATCAAACATGTCACATGACTTTTTCCTGTGTTCGTGAATAGGTGTTGGTTTTAATCAGTTTTGATGTAATTTCTTACATTTTTTTAACAAACATTGTTTATTTACTGTTACTTGTAATAAGTTTAAAGGAAGAAATAACCTGCACATACCTGTTACATGGGAAATAAATAATGCTGAAAGGGCAGCAGGTAAGTAATGTGTCCATATGGCTAGAAATCTTAAACCCAGAAAAGAAGTATTTTTAAATTTCATGACTAAAATTAAAAAAAATTAAGCAGGAACAAAGATTTTGCTCAATTAGTTGTTTGAAATTGATTAATTATATTGTTACTCTTTCCACGCTGGGTATCATTACTTTGCCTTCTCATTCTTCGGTAAAGATTTCCATTGCTGGCAGTGGAGACACAAAAGTAGCCAACATAGAAGTTAAACTTTTAATAGAAATCTGTTTGGCTTGTTGGTAAGATCCTAATATATAAGGCCTCTAATTTTTATCTAGTCTCAATATGTACACTAAAACCTGCACTAACCGGAACTGTAAAAACGAGCAAATTTCTGACGCTGGGAAAAGCAAAACAAAAAGGAAACTGGCCTTTTAAGTTCCGGGCTGCTCCTCAGACGAGTGTGCAGCACGTACTTGGGGGAATGTTGAATGACAGCCAAAAGCAAGCAACAAGTATCTCGGCTTCTGGCACCCCTGACAGGCCAGCCCCCCTGCTGCCCCCTCCTTCCGGCAGGCTGCCTCCGTCTCGTGGTTACCACCCCCTCTCACCAGCCCGCATTTACTCCCCACAGCTCGTGGGCCTTTCCCCCCCTTCCTCCCAGCAGGCCACATCTCGGCCCCCGCATGGCTTCCGTGCCCCCCTCCTCCCCAGATAACCAGATTTTGTAGGTTACCGGCACACCCTAATCCTCAGGGATGCCGGGTAACACAGGTTTTACTGTATATATTTTGAGCGGTTAGATAGTTCCCTGATGTGTCTTGTAATTAGATGGATTATCTTTTCATTGTGAGTTTATTTTTATCAACTCTATTTTGGTTTAAAGTGAAAAGATCATGTGTGTTTAAAAAGAATCCAAAAAGCCCATTTAGAAACCAAAAAGGAATATGTTCCAGGATACATTTCATGTGTATCATGCTCCAGTTTCTTAAGCAGTTCTGAACATTTCCTGTGCCCTCTCAGGAGAGATGAGTTTGTTAGTTTATCAGCCAGTGATGTTTCACCTGGATAATGTGTTGATTGCTATTGAAGTGTTCTTTGGTATCCAGTTGTATTTAATCTGTTTCTGTTTGTGAAAGGACAGTCTGTTAAGAAGTACTTGATATTTTGTATGTGGGCATTCATATGGTGCTTGGCCAAAGGATTAAACAGTTATGTAAAATAATGGATTTTTTAAAGCAACAAAAATAAGATTACAGTCAGATTAGCTAAGAAAGTTAGCTTGGTTTTGGAAAAGGTATTTTTGCAGGCCAAAAATACTTCAGAAAAACAGTGGCCTATATTGGAAGCACCTTTTGCTTTCATTCCTTCTCTGTTTTTTTTTAACGTGCCAACCTAAAATTCAGATTGTATTACACAAAACTAACATTTGTCAAACATTTAAAAAAAATTAAATTGGCTCTCATGGCGATTGCATTTGTACGTGTAAGACAAAAACATATCTCATTAAATTTAGGCTTTAGTTTGATCATTAAGAGTGGATGTTCTAATTAGTTTCTTTTGTTGAGACTCATGATTTTGGTGGCTTTTTCAGAGCTATATTTTTTCGATCGGATTATGCTTAGTTGCATACCCAAGTCCCTGTAAATGTTTCCCATAACTGTGTGTGGTTAATAGCAGATTTAAATGTGTATATATGTGTGTTACTTGTGTTTCTAGTAAAAATACAGGGCATTTTAAAGAAATACCTTGTTTCTTTTTCCCTTTCCTTACTCCTGCCAATGTATAATTTACTAACTGATTTAACTAGTTTATTTATGTAATCTTATGTCCCTTGCATTTACTGTTTATCAATGTGTTTAGTGTAAACTAGGTTATGGCCTTAAATCTCTCTAGCTTTCTGCTAGTGCAGGTACACTGTGTCATATAGCATTATATAAAATATGTAGGTTTTAATATTTCATGTGGACTTAAGACTCTAAATTCCTTTGCATTAAAATTCAGAAATAAAAACTTCATATTCTCATAGAAGAAAAGTATTGATCAGAATATACATTTTCCTGTAGCAGACAGCATTCCTTACTATACCAGTCTTTTGACTTTTGGAAGCAACAGCATGAATTTTTAGGATGATGAACAATATGTAGGTAGTAGGTGATATATGTTTTTAATGTAGTTAAATGATTTTAGCATACAAGGGAAGACTTGATGTGCATTATTCAGAACCTCTGGTACTCTCCTACAATTTAGGACTTTTTACAGTGGGGTAACTTGGACTGAAAAATTGCATATTAGAGGTTCTGTAATGTTTACAATATTGATAAGATGGCATCTTTTAAAAATAATGTGACCTAAAGGGTTATCTTAGATGCAGATAATTTTTAGGCTTTGCTGAATGAAAGCTGCAGTTCAGTTTTGTGATAAAAATATCCGTGGTCATGCGTTCTCACAGGATTTTTCCTGTATTGGATAAGACATGGTAAAGCGCCCCTCGAAGGTTTTGAAGCTTTGAGGCCATTTGAGTCCTTTCCTCACCTTTAATTATTCAATGCGGATATTATGTTCTGAAGTAGACCCTTCTTGTTTTAAAGACTTTCTGACCATCTCTTGACATGTGTTTTTGCAGACACACATTTGAAGGTAGTATAATTTATAGTTTACCACATTGAAATTAGGTGAAATTGAATCTGAAATTTCCCAACCAAACAGAATTAATCATTAATAGAAATGTAGTCTGACCAACTAATAGAGCTTGTTGGTAGCATAGCCCCTTGTTTAATGTATTTTGTGTAGAGATGATTTTGAACTGTTCGTATTGTCACATGTTGAGTTATTAAATATATGTTCCCATGACATTCTATAATGCTGAAAAAATAAGGGATATGCATTATGTCATAAGGGATAAGTGATCTCAAATTCAGTTTGCTTACTGTTATTGATGTCGTCTTGAAAAAAAATCAGATAGTGTTTGAAAGGAAAATAAATTACTTTTGGGGGAAATTTCCAAAGGGTTAATAGCACTGATTACACCTTTTAGCCTTTAAGGTTATATGGTCTTCCTGACCATTCTCCCTCTACTCAAAGGTGCAGCTGTTCAAGAAATAAGTTTGAAGTGTGACTTGAGAAATTTTTGTATTAATAGAAATGCAGAATTATTACATTGCAAATTGTAAACTGATTGGTGTCTGTATGAATGCCTGATTCAAAAAGGGTTTCTATAAATAGTAACAGCTTTCTAATACCAGCAGGCCAAAGAGTGTCTTAAGGTATTGAGTCTCTGGAGACCTAGATTTCTCAGCAAGGTAAGGTGGTATCCCATCAAACAAGAATTTCTGAACACATTTTCAATTAAAGCACTAGGATTCTATATTAACTTAATTATAACTCATTCCTTTTCATGTTATGCTTGGAATTTTGCATTAATTTTCATTTTTCATTGGTTTTCTTATTTAATTACCTTTCTTCCAGCCTTTAGGAGACCACTTAGCAAGTTGCTAAAACCTTTTTGTTGGTCTTAAACTGAAATACTAGTTTAACTTGTAACGAAGAAATAAAAATATTTTTTTATTAAAAAAGCCTCTTGTGTCATTTTGTCTAATCTTCTGTTATTCTGCATGTCAGCTTCTATTCAACTGAGGCAAATATAAAAATAATAGTGTTGGAAATAGGTGACTAATTTCTCTTCTTGAAATATTTTCATTCGTTGACCAACTATTGCCCTTTTAATGTTGTCCTCTTATTTTTAAAATAGCAAACATTTTTCTGCTCAGCTTTGGAAGGAAAAAAAAGTGAAAAAGTGCTACATTCATTAGTTTAGTGTAGCAATTTGATACTGGCTATTTTTAATAATGGAAGGCACTCATTTTATCAGTGTTTAAAGAAAAAAGTGGTTCGCTGTGTTTCAGACTATGAAGAAAGGATAACAGAGCTTTACATAGCTTGCTTTGTTAAAGTGTTCATTTTCTTTTTTTTTAATTAGTCTTTTGCTTTTATATATGTCATGTACTGTAGTTTGGAGCAAAAAAATCTCTGCTACCTGGCATACACTAAAGAAACTAAACTCAATCCTGTATAATGATGGGGATCTGTTAACCAGTTTCAGCCAACTCACGGAAGTTTGAAAGGGAAGAATTGTAGATCCCTGTGTATAGTTTTGCTGTTGAACAGTAAAGTTGTCATTAAAATTGAGATTTTTGAGTCTTGCTTGTAGTGGTGGTTCTGAAAGAGATGGGTTTTTTCATGGTTCATTTAATATAGCACTGTTCAGAAGTTGCACTTTTGCAATGTTGCCAACTTCTATTTTATTTTTGAGCCTTGTGATACATAGTGTTTTCTTAACACCCCAACTGCTGCAGTCACAGTATTGTGTGAGAATCTCTTCTTTCATTTGGAAAAATCAAAAATTCCAGCTCTTACGGCTTCATGGGGGAAAAAAGGTTAAAAATGTGACCCGAATGCAACCTAAAGGCTCAGAAGTCAAGTAAAATGAGCCCCAAAGTGTTTTGGGAGGAGTTGGAGGCGGGAGGTTGGGAATGCATGAGGTTGGCAATACTGTGATGCCATATACAGGCAAGATACATTCAAAACCACATGAGTTACTTAATACATTCATGTTTACAGCTCCACACGCGTAATAATGAAATGAATGAGCATAACTTTTCTGATTGCAGAAGTTCAAGTAGTGTATAGTCACAAGAGACAAATTGAAATATTCAAGCTAGCTCTGCAAAGAACATAGGGCTCAAAAGATCTTTTTTGCTTTTATACAGGCAAGATACATTCAAAACCACATGAGTTACTTAATACATTCATGTTTACAGCTCCACACGCGTAATAATGAAATGAATGAGCATAACTTTTCTGATTGCAGAAGTTCAAGTAGTGTATAGTCACAAGAGACAAATTGAAATATTCAAGCTAGCTCTGCAAAGAACATAGGGCTCAAAAGATCTTTTTTGCTTTTTGCTCCCCCCCCCCCCCCCCCCTCCCCAACCTTTTCCTCTAATGTATCCAGCCGACATCTGCTGCATTGCAGAGGAGCAAAATTGTGCCTGTCTTGCCATAGTCAACTAAGCACTCACCAGATCTGAAACGGGGTTGCTTCCCAACTTCTCATCACTTGCTGCCACTGTTGATCCATATAACATGACATCCAGAAAAGCAATTGCCTCTTACTCCCTCTTGCCTTTTTCTGCTGCTTTGAGCAGTTCAGACTTGGGGGAAGAGTGCTACCTCTGGTGTTGTGTGGGGAAAAGGGTCTCTTCTCCCCACATCTCCTCTCCTCCTGCAGTTAATTCCATCCTATCAAAATCAATCCTGTCTCCCAACCCTCCTGTCATTTCTGCTCCTGGTCCCAGCCTCATCTCTACAGCTCCTGAGGTTGGTTCTTCTGCTGTGTGGGTAGTGGGTTTTTTTTTTAAGAGCTGCAGCCGATGTTCCTTCTCCCACCTCTCAGGTCCAGTGTTGCATGGTGGGAGAGAGAAGTAGGACATCCCTTCCATTGCTCATTGGAGGGGAGGAGGAAGTGGAGCAGCTGCCCTGAGTTTCTGGCTCTTTCTGTTCCCTTGTGCAGTGAGATTGATGCGTACTTCTGAGTAGCAGGAAGGGGAACACTGCCTACCTCTGCAGCAGCCCTGATTGACTGCTTTCCCTTTTCCTAGGTAAGAGCAGCCAATCAGAGGAGAGTGTTTCCCTGAGGCAGTACTAAAAATGTGGGCCTCAGCACTGTGGCTGGCTTAGAACTTATATTTCCTGGGTCTGCAAAGAAATGCTCTCTGTGGCTTGAAAGCTTGTGTCTCTCTACTAGAAGTTGATCTGATAAAAGATATTACCTCACCCACCCTGTGTCTCTATTCGGTGTAGCTTATGGAATCCAACCACAAGAGTAAATGGCCCTTGCCACAGAAGTAGCTTGACACCTCTGGTTTAAACCAAGCATCTTTAACTATTAGCATTGTCACACATGGAGTATAGTGGAACAGAGTTCACACAGCGGCATTGTGAGCATGAATTGCTGTTTAATCACATGTGCATTTGGGAAGTGATAACACAGATATCTTCTTTTGTGTTTAATGAGATTTTTTTTAACAATAAGGCTGAATTGGATAGAGATTCCAAATTTTAAAAAAGGAATGGGGAAGAGCCCCATAGTGTCCTTTCTCTTTTTTTCATTGATGTGCAGACAGGGCTTTCCCCTTAAGAGTTAGGATGGGATAGAGTCATGAAAGATGCACCAAGGGCAGCTATTACATGATTGCTTGTATGTTAAAATTTCAGGCTTGACCCCACACATAACTAATACAGTTGAAGGCAGAAAAATATCATCAGCTGCTCTGGGCTGACACCCAGTTGGCTTGTGTAACTGAAACGCAGCTCCTTCTTTGACACTGCCAATGGTGGCATTAGTCATAGACTTTGAGGTCAGAAGAGACCGTCTTGATCATTTAGTCTCTCCTCCTTCACATAGCAGGCCACAGAACCTCACTCACCAACCCACTCCTTTACTAGACCAAATAACCTCTGAGTTACTGAAGTCCTCAAATCATGATTTAAAGACTCAAATTACAGAAAATCCACCCCTTACACTAGTTTGAAACTGCAAGTGATCTGTGCTCTATGCTGTAAAAAAATGCAAAACAAACCCAAACAAAAACAACACACCTCCAGGGTCTCTTTCAAACTGACCTGGGCAAAACTTCCCAGCCGCAAATATGGCAGTCATTTGGACCCTGAGGATGTGGGCTAGACCCGCAAGATAAGACATATAGGAAAGGATTCTTTAAGAACTCAGAGCCCTCCCTATCTAGTGTCCTGTCACTGGCCACTGTAGACACTGCTGCTTGTAGTTGCAAAGTGGCTATACACCATTCTAAACAGTCTCATGCCATCCCCTTCATAAACTTATTAAAACTGAGTCTTGAAGCTAGTTTTTTTTCCCCCCCTTACTGTTCCCCTTGAAAAGCTGTTCCAGAAGGAATTCAAGGCCTTTTAGGCAAAAGCAGAATTGAGAAAGAGCCTCCCATTTTCTGATTAAATTAAAGCTTTGCTGGACATGCAGAAATTTAACTTCTGCATTTTTTGTACTGAATCTCCCATTTGGAATTATTACTAGAATATTCTCAAGACAGCAATCAAAACCACACCTTCCGTTATTTAATCTAAAGGTTGGATGGTATATATTTGTGTTAAACATGTCTAAAAGCTTAAATAATAAATAGTTACTGTACCAATAAATAAACTTTGGATCACTACTTATAAAAGGATTAGATCAAGGGTTGCTCAAACCCATGTTGGCTTGCTTGACCCAGTAATAAACTCTTTCACAGTGTACCCTTTTAACAAATGTTGCCAATTGCTAATTTTAGCTAAAGAATCAGTTTGGGGAAGTTTAAGGCTGGATCCTTTCTTAGGCCTGGAGTAGACAAGATTTACAACTGGGCCCCCTTTCTGTAAGGCTTCTTATCTTATCAGTTACCTTCCAAGTCCAGTTTTTTTTTATAATTAAGCCACATTCTACACGGTTTTCTCATAGCTGCTAACAGCACATTCACTTTACACAAACTGCAAGACACATTTTTGTTACCCAAACTATTTAACTCTTTATGTACTTATCTAATCCTCTGCTCACTATCCTAGAAAAAGAGAAAGTTCAGTTCAGAAAAGGATGGCAAATGCAGGGTATTGAGAGGAATGGGACTCTTTAAAAGTGAGAACTCTCTCAACTTGCGTTAGTAGCTCTCTGAGCAGCAATAGCTGTGGAAAGCTGGCTATTATTGAAAACAGGATGCTGGAATGGATGAAGCATTTACCAATCTAGCAATTTGTATGCTTTTGTGAAGATGTTGTTCTGCAGTGACAATGGGGCCTCACAAATC